TACAAACGGCATTCAATTGTTAAGATTCTCTCTATGCGTACAACGTCTCATTAGCTATACAATCATGTGTTCAATTCATATTGTCGGGAGTGAAGACAATTGGAGCCATTCGACTCGGTCTAAGTGAACCTTCGACAGTGACAGAAAATAGCCGATGAAAGATCTATTGAATATGTTGTATTAATTTATTATATGAATGTTGTACAGATCGGGCTAATATCAAAAGTTAATTTTTGTTTAGGAACAACTATGATTGTGTTTCTAATAGATAGTAAAATTATTAAAAGATTGTTCTTTTTTTACCTAAAGTTATACACTCATGAAACTCAAATTCGTCTCGTCATCATTCAATCAAATTCTTGCTCTATTGAATGCCAATGATTTATCTACAAAGTGTTTGCTTTATTATTTCTCATTATTAAATTCTTGCTCATTCCGATATTTCGTACAATGGTCATTCGTCTACGTTTTCGTCGGTCAACAAAGATTCAAGTAAATCCAAATGATGATTTGACTGTGGTGATTGTTAAAAACAATGATTTATCGAACGTCGATAAACAAATTTGAATTTAGCTTTCAAGAAGTTTAGACTAAGAATATTTTATTTAAAACTCTAATACAGTATGTGATAAGAAAAAAAATTGAATAAAATGTCTTTTTACGTTGAATCCTTATCAATCATATGGCATAGAAGTCCTAAAAATATAAACAAAAGTACAATTAGTGTAAAATTTTGATAAGTAAGAAGGAATCCTGAAATTCTACAGATCTTCAAACAATTTTGATATTAATATGAATACGGCTTTCACAAATGGAGAGGAAACATTTTTTATTGTCATCAACTCAAATTCTACCTTCTTTTCCTAGTCCTTTCTATTAATTTTATGTATGAGACTAATCGTAATTTCATCGAAGAGCTTAACGTTGACAGTTCTTTAACTTGAAGATAAAATGCTTACCTTAACTAACTTTTGTTGTTTCACTTAGTTTCTGTTTTTCATCGTCTGGACCACACATAACTAGATGACGCATATAACATTCTTCACAAACATATGCACCACAAAATCCACAGGAAATAACAGCTTCACCAACACCATAACATTCAGGACAGATCGTCATTCTCAAAAGGAAAAATATTCAGAAAAAGAGAAGAAGTTAGAATAATTGTTCAACATCCTAAAGTTGCAAGTAATCTAACCGCCTAGACTACTGACAATTTCTAGAGAAACATTCATTTCCGCTTCCTTTTCTCTATACAAACATCAACTGCATACAAACCTCATTTCATTTTTGCTGTTCAGTTTTAACTCACGTCTTCTGAGATTTTGCAGAAAGCAGAACGAAGATAACCTTGAATTTATTATTGATAAAACACACGAAAAATAGTTCGATCGTATAGGAAATGAATGAAATAATCTACAGAGAGACTGCCTTCTCTTATATAAAAGATAAAAATGGAGAGGCGGTAACTTTAGTTTGTTAACAAATATCTTCACATTCTATCATGAAAAATATTTTTCTTTTTTTCTTCTATGTCAAAAATACATTATCTAACCCGATTTACTCACATTCTAAACTCTCTTTGTTATCTACTTGGGCAAACGTGACGCACCGACATTTTATATAAATCATTTCAATTATCTCGCGATTAAGAAACTGTGAAAGACTGAAATTTTGACCGTATATAGAATTCAGTTAGTTCTCTGTGTCACACAATTTTCAGCTTATTTGGTTGAGATGTGAAACAGAGGCACATCAAAATAGGGTCATGACACACGGACAAAACATGAAAGTTGCTTCCCATAATGTTCACTTTTTCGTGTTACACTCTGAAATGAAAAGAGATGGAGAAATAATGGCAAAAGAGAAGATTTTGCGTAATCTCTGATCTATCGAATGGTAAGTTCATTTTTTAAATCATTTGTTTATGTAAGATTTAAAATGAAAACCAATTGTCATGACCCATGGACGTATATGAAACGATTGCATTTTTTGTCACTCGAGTCGTAGCAGTTAGCACCGCTTTAAGATAACGATACATATAATGGACCGGATGCGGGTATGAATGTGGCAGAGTACAATACCCGCACACACCTTAATCCATATTTGGTTTTAATTAAAAAAGATGAAGAAGTTTGAAATTGCTGAAATCGATCATTAAAATTGGAAAAAGCTTTATACAATTCACAGTCATGAAGATAATCAAAGTTTTTATAAAGTTATGTAAACAAAGCGGAATATGTTATGATTATCTAACCGATTGATAATGTTTTATTCTCTTTCTATTCTTCTCTAATTTTTGAGAAAAAATTAAAAAAACTGATCAATGCAAAATAACTTATTATAATAGTTAAACAAATTTTACAAGAAAAAATAAATATGTTTAAATCATTTCCATTGTAAATAGACAGTATCCAGTATACGTTTGACTGTAAAATTAGAAAGTAGTTTTTCATAATTGATCATTCGTTTAATATTTTCAACTATTTGTTCATCTGTTGTTCGAACAGGAAAACATAATGAATGAAGATAATGATTATTATTTTGCTTAATTTTCTTGAAAATAGTACGTAAGAAAGATTGAATATCCATCGTATTTATACATCTAATTTTAAAATATTCCATATAAGGACAAAGTGTGAAAAGAAAATCAAGTTCTTTAACATTATCAATCTCTTCAAAATAGACTTTGATAATTTTACTTGTCTCTTTTATTGAACATAAAATAAGAAGTTCTTTAACAGTTAATTCTGTTGTTTCGTCTATTGATAATGAATGAATTTTTAATGTAGTTATATGTGGTAATAGATTAACAACTTGAATCAATGCAGGAATTGAAAATTTTTCTTCAAGAATTTCCAAATGATAAATTTTTGTTATGGTTAAAATATGTTCAATTTCTTTGGGTATCACTTCTTCGAACATAGAACTAGGAATACATTCGAATGTTAAATTAGTAAATGTAGAATATTTATCATAACGATTAACAATATTATCTTCTATATCATCATACCATCTTTTACTAAAAAATAAACAAAATTATTCGTTTATTATCGAAATTATTTTTCTATATACCTATATCGACGTATTATATATTCAATATCTGTATCCTTGATTTCGACTTCAAATAGCCATTGTCGTTCAATCCAAAATGATGAAGAAAATTGATTCGATTTTCCAGTAAATCTTCGATATTTTTCTTCATTATCAAGAAGATCATCATATACGAAATAAAATTTTTCTAACTGAGAAAAATTATTCAAAATAAATTGTTCCCATCGATAAGCATCAAGAAAATTGATATCGTTTGAACCAGCAATAAATAAACTTTTTAAATTAGGAAATTTTTTTGTAATGAATATTTCTAATACATTAAATGTTGTTTGACGTAAATCTAAATAAATCGAATTCAGATTATTTAATGTAATTGATGATAATATTGTAATATTTGAATTATTCGTTTTTATTTTATGAACAGTCAAACGATGAAGTTTTGGTGTATAAGAAATTAAAGATATGAGTTCATTCAAAGAACAATAATGATCAATAACAAGATATTCAATAGGACTGAATTGATTATTCATAGCCATTGAAAGTGTAATTGAATGATAATTATCCGATAAGAAAATTCGATAATATTTTAATTTAGATAAGACAAATACCAATCGATAAATATCATTGATTTCTTCTTGAACATTAGATGTTTCGATGGTTAATGAAGAAAGACGTAGTAAAGAAGATAAATTGGTTAGAACTGGAATAAGTATTTCGAATTGAATGTCTCTGAAAGCAATAGATTCAAGTCGATCGAACGATGAATCGAAAAAAAATGATGAAAAACAATAACTATCTTCGAATACAAAAAGAATGTGTATAGAAAATATTTGATGTCGATTGGAAAACATAAATTGTTTAAACATGTTCATAGGTTCATCATAATTAAATAAATAAAAACGAGTTGTAAATAATATAGATGAAGAATGAAGAAGTTGTTGAAATCGAGAATTAAGATTTGAAAATGCTTTACATAACTTATATCCATCAAGATAATCAAATATTTCACATAATAATTCAGATCTTCAAAACAAGTCATTGATTGATTGAATTCATCTATTAAAATAAAAAATATAAATAACTTTATATCCATCAGACGAATAATTTACTACGAAATTTCTTTGTTTTTTCTTTTGATAAATCATTAGAACTCCATTTTCGTTTAATTTGATTCATATTTATTTTTCAATTTAGATTGAATGAGTTTGTTTATGGAATGAATCCTTCATTTCGAAAATGTTTAAATATGCTACTCAGACAAAAGAAAAATAGGTCGTCAAGATCAACGTCCGATACAAAAAAGCCATAAACAAAAGAAAAGGGAAACAAAGTTATAACGGTCATTTAATGTTATATACAATTGAATGACTCTGTAAATTTGAGAGAAGTTATTTAATCCATCTCTATCCTTTGATCTTTTGTGTATCTCTCTTAAAAATCTGTAATATTGTTTGAAGATATAAAACAAATCAAAGACACGTTTAATTTTATAATCAACAAATAGTTTTTCATA